GTCTCTGTCTTTCTATATCCGGTGACCGGTGACACGGTCCCTTATTTAAACTGTTCCGGTGGTGATTACATCTCACCATAACACCTCCCCCTAAGCCAATTTCTCTCTGGAGAATTTGGCTTAATATCGTTTGTTTTTAGGTCTGGGGCTCAGCCGGTTGACTTTTCTTTTCACCCTTGTACTTTTTCTCCTCAACACCGTTTGAGGGGGTGTAGTTGGTGGTGAAACTGGTACTCTCGGACCTGGAGTAGGAGATACCACTCTCGGAGTAGGTTGTGCTATTGGTAGAGGAATATTAAAAGAGTCATACAATACCTCCAAGGGCAGTTCATTATCTTCTGCTTGTTTGTAGTCATCAGTGTGTCGAGGTCTTAACTGATTTATATGCCTGCGACAGTCAAATTTACTACTTCTTACAGAATAAAGCATGTGTCCAATTCTTTTCATAATAATCCCCTCTTCCCAAAAGCTTTTCCCAGTCCCATAATTCAAGAAGAATATTTTGTCACCAGGTTTGTAGAACTTTGTCGAAAGATTTTCTCTCGTTGCTGTTGTCTTGGTTGTACTTGGTAAAATCCTGTCAAATACGGATCTGATTTTCCGTGCGAACATTAGTTCAGCTGGTGATAAACCGGCATTCGTGTTTGGGTTAGGGGTGATCCTGTACACAGATAAAAAATCTACAAGACTCTTCTCATCAGTGTCCATGCCTTGGTTTTTCTTCAAAGCTCTTTTGAACGTGTCAACAAATCTCTCTGCGAGGCCGTTTGACCTTGGATGGTATATTGCAGTTGTGAAATGTTCAATGGATAGGGCTTTGCAGAATTCGTCAAACTCTTTGCTGGTAAATTGGGTGCCGTTGTCGCTGACAATCATTTTAGGCACTCCAAAACGACTGAAGAGAAGTCTTAGTGCATCTGTAGTACTCGTCGATGTCGGATGTTTGCACTTAAACACTTCTGGCCATTTTGTGAAACTGTCGACGACCACTAAGAAATAATATCCATTCAAAGGACCTGCATAGTCGATGTGTAACCGAGTCCACGTGTATCCGTCTTGGTTGTATTTGTACAGGTGGTGCCTTTGCTGCTAGCTGACACCCTTGACACTCTCTCACAATTTTTTCGATGTCCCGGTCCATCCTAGGCCAATACGTATATCCGCGCATCAAAGCCTTCATTCTGGACATGCCCGGATGACCGCTATGGAATTCTTTTAGAATCTTCCTCTGCAGTGTGGTCGGTATGACGACTCTGTCCGCATACATTAAAGTCTGTGAACAAATAGAAAATGGCGAAATTTTTGAGTCTTTCTTTGACTTTTCATTTAACTGCACCTGTTTTTTCATTTTTACAATGAATTCATCTGTTTCTGCTGCCTTATTGATGTCATCTAGAGTCACTGGTAACTCTCGAATCGTGTTGCACAGCAGTCCGGAGAGTTCTTTTTCCTCTCTCAATGCAGCTATCACTGTGTCCTCTAAAGGTTCTGCACACTTTCGAATCAGTCTGGATAGTCCATCCGCGTGTCCGATATTTTTGGATGAAATGTATTCCATTTTAAAATTATAATTCAACAGAATTATGCTCCATCGTTGAAGTCTGTTTGCAGTGTGAGTGGGTATGCCTTTTTTTAGAGCCAAAATAGTCAACAAGGGCTTGTGGTCAGTCTGCAACGTAAATTTCCTGCCATGAATAAATCTATGGAATTTTTAATTGCATAAATGATTGCCAAGCTTTTTTTCAATTTGAGAATAGTTTTCTTTCTGCAGGCAAAAGTGATCTGGATGCATGAGCTATTGGCTTCGTTGACCCATCTTCAAGTCTATGGAGAAGTACTGCTCCTATCCCGTAGTCACTTGCATCTGATGCCACAATCAATTCCTTCTGTGGGTCAAAGTGTGCCAGTGCTAAATCTGATAGTAGGCATTTCTTAATCTCTTCAAATGCACTTTGGCACTCTTTTGACCAAATCCACTTTTGTCCCTTTTTTTAACAATTCGCTCAATGGTGCTTCAACTTATGCATTTTTTGGGATATAAATAGCATAATATTGTGCTAAACCCAAAAAAGATTGTAACTGGGCAACATTGTTAGGCGCCACATCTCTTCTCTATGACTTCTGTTCTCTGGGATCTGGTCTTCTGCCTTGGTTGTCAATAATCTGACCAAGATATTTTATCTGTTTTAAGAAAATTCACATTTTTCGGCACTCAATTTGAAGTCAATTCCTCAATTCTTTGGAAAACTGCTCTGATGTGCTCCTTATGTTCCTGCACATTTTTACTCTTTACAAGAATGTCGTCCAAATATGCGATTGTAAAACCTAAATCAGCCAGCATCATGTCCATTATCTGTTGAAATAACGCTGGAGCTACTTTCAAACCAAATGGAGCCTCTTGAGTCTGAAGAGTCCTAAATGGGTATTAATACACAGATACTTTGAAACATTCTTCACTGACTTTTACCTGAAGGTAAGCCTCAGATAAATCAATTTTGGAAAAATTTTACCTCCATTCAGCTTTGTAAAAATGTCCTCAGGGGATGGGGGGGATAACTATGATCCATCAGACAGTCATTAAGGCCTGTAGAAAAATCAGCACATACCGAATCTTCTTATTTTTTTTTTTTAACATACACAGTGGGATTCTGCCCAATCCGAATAGTCAACTTTTTCGACTACACCATTTTCCTGCAGTCTTTGCAGTTCACTTTCAATATCTTCTTTTGAAGAAAAAGGCACGTTTCTTTTTGGTTTAAAAACAGGTTTCACATTTTGTTTTAGCTCAAAATTCACTTCGGTCTTGGTGCACACACCTAACCCCTCAGAAAAAACCCTGGGGAATTCACTTTTTAAGTCAGTAAGAAAATCTTCATTTTGTTTGGAATTCTTCTTTCCAGATACACTAACACTGTTACAAAATGAATTTATGGGTAGCTCCCATAAATCGAACAAAACGATCCAATCAATTCCGAAAAGGCAAGAATTTATACCTGGAACAACTGACACTTTTGAAGAAAAAGTTTTCAATCCAAGGGATACACTGCAATTAAACTCTCCCTTGAATTTTAATCTCTTGCCGGATACTCCTTTGGCAATTTTAAACGTTTTTTTCAGTTTTGGACACCCAATCCTCTTCCAGGTCACTTCGTCAATAATCGAAATATCGCTACCCGTATCCAAAAGTAGCTTCACTATGTGACCATTTATTTTGGTATTGACAAATTTTCTTTCACCTCCTTGTCTCACTTCTTCTTTTGACAACACAACATTTACTTTAGACTTACATTTTTGTCTTTGTTTATTTTGTTTAGTTCGGCACTGGGAGGCTCGGTGTCCGACTAAACCACATTTAGCACAAGGTTGGTCTTTAAAAGGGCAATTTTTTCTTAAGTGCGAACCTGCACAGCTCCAACATTCAAAACTTTTTCCTTTGTCCTTGGGAAATGTTTTTTGTTTCACTATTTGGACCTGGGATGTAACTTTTCCCTCTATCCTTGTGGTGTCCCTTTTCACATTTATCAACTTCTGACATTCTTCTGTCACTTTTTGCAAGTTCATTTCAGGATCTTGCTCCATAATTGATAAAATTCTTGACCTCCAATCCTTGTCCTTCGGTGCTGTCAGTCCCTGGACAAATATGTAACACTTAAACATGTCAACAGATAGATCTTTCAATTTAAATAGTTCACACTGGGCGTTGACTTTACCCGCATATGTGACAATATCATCAGTTTCTTCTTTTTGCATGTTTAAACACTTATATCTTGTATGAAAAAGACTGTCTCTTTCACCAAATATCGAGCACAAAATTTCAACAGTTTCCGAAAAAGAAATATCTTCCGGTTTCTTTGGTAAAATCAAATTTGTAAATTTTGTATTCTCTTCCGTACCCAATTTCTGAAGTAGGAGTGTGATTTTTTCTTCATCAGACCATTTTTCACATCTTTTCGTAAAGATCGTTTCGAACCTACGATAATAGGCGGGAAAAGTGTCACCTCGTTCTGGGTCGTATTTGAACTCAGCTAGTGAGTTAGCTATACCCTCTGCCGAAAAAAATCTAGACACACTATCATTAGATTTTTGTGACAAAACCGTTTCACAAAATAGTCGGTTATCTGCCGCCTGCTGTATGACAAGTGTTTCAAAACGCTCTTGCTGAATTAACATCTGTTTGTGAAAGTCAATTTGGGCTTTTTGCTGAGCAATCAAACTCTCAGTTAACGTTTTCGTCAACGCTGCTATTTGTTCCGAAGCCATTTTTTAAAATGCACAAATATCACGCCAACGTATACATAAAATATTGTTCAAAAACAAGATGCTCACTTTCGACACTGAGGAATGTTCAGAAAAATTACCGTACAAAATATCAACACTTTACAAATTTCAAGAGATCCTTTTCGTCTTTTTCAAATACACGTAAACTTCTTTTAAAAATTTTCTTTATGAAAGAAAAACAGTTCCCACAGTACAGTTCATTTTGTTGGTTTTTATCGTATTAACCAAAAAAACACATCTGAATTGCTTTTCGAAACGAATTTGTAAAACGTGACGAAAAAATACTTCTCACGAAGAAAATTCAAACAATTTACTACACACGTTGACGTCAACTTTTCAGAAGTTCAAAGAAAAACGGAGTTTAACTCGTTAATGAGAATATAAAAATTCTTTTTACTTGCGTAAATTGGTGGCAGACATCAGTCTTTCGCTTTCTATGAAGTTTTTTCTTCAATGGATGTAAACTTTGTGAAAAAAAAATTTTTCAAAATTTCCTCGGAAAATGTTTCAAATTTTTTTTTTTTTTTTTTTTTTTTTTTTAGGTTTAAAAGGATTTACTGAGTTCGTGTCTCATCTTCGTCGCCAGTTGATATATCCCTGGGTGGCCATGCAATAGGGATAATCAGGAGGTAGTATTCCGTGAAGGAAATAAGAAATAAATATGTACTGTAGGTTTAAATAAGAAAGTAAGTTTATTAAAGCAAGAGACAATGTGTAGTGTGATGTGCTCCAGTCCAGGAAGTGTCTCTGTCCTTCTATATCCGGTGACCGGTGACACGGTCCCTTCTTTAAACTGTTCCGGTGGTGATTACATCTCACCATAACAGATAGTTATAATGACAATGGCCAAGTTGATTGAATAAGAACTTGAAATAAATGACTTAGTAATGTATTTTATTTTTTCCTGTAGACTCTTTGTTGTATATAGGGCTGCAATCACACCAGGTGATACTGCTTGCAGTTTTAGTAGCAAGTGATTTTTCACAGGACATGAGTGCTTCCTGTCATCCAAGGTAGACATCTCTTATTACTTACTAAAAAAACTCTCACTCTCTTTCTGTGTGTGTGTGTGTGTGTGTGTGTGTGTGTGTGTGTGTGTGTGTGCATTTAATGTTTACTGTTAATGGTTGTATGGTTGAATGATGAAGTTATATTTTTTAAATAAAGTTAACAACTCATCACACTTGAAATAAGCTGGTCAGAGCTATTTATTTACACTTATTTTGGGAAGATCTACTGAGTACACTTTTATCTTGAGTCATGTTGAAAAGTCAATATTTATACCTGTTGCTTCAAGATTTTACAGTCAAAAACAAAAATAGATCATAGTTGACAAAAAGAAAAAAATCTTGAGTATGTCAATCTGTCTACTTTTGTGATTTATAGCCCAATGCAATCATTCAAAATCTTACTTCAATTTTCTCAAACAAAACTATAACTCTTTACATCTGACATTTAAGCTGGTTTAATATTATAAACTAAAAGTTACTGTAGAACATTTATCTACTATTCTTTTATATAGAGTTCTCTAAGAGAACTCATATAATTAGAAGAGATATCAATAACAATTGGGATATTATACATTTTGATTAGCCCTTATTTGAAACTCATGCCTCCTTGGTTAACTTTGTTAATGAATATTTATATAGGAAGTTATAATCTTTAATCATTGAGCTAAACCTGCAAGTACATATGTACTAGATAGTTGAATATTATGCTAGTAAAATATGTTGGATTACTAATATAATTAATGGCTCAGTATGGCATTGGAGTTTTTAGTCAAAATCTTTGGTTGATGAAGTTACTACACATACTAATTTGAAAATGACAAAATCAGTGAGTAAAAATTATTTAAATATTCTGGATTTTACAAGATTTTTCAGTAGTAATAGCAGATGGAAGGATCCATCTCATTTTAAATGTTACCAAACTAAAGAAGCAATCATTTTACCAAGTGAGTCATGATAGCTACCTTTGTCTCCAGTCAGGTCTAAGTAGATTTCTATTTTCTGAACTATGACCAACATATTTTGTCATTAACACCATTTGATTTGAAATGTCTTGTTTGAACTTTATAACCTTGTTTTTACTTTTACATTTCTTCTCTTTTGACTAAAGTAATTTAGCCAACTGAACAGGATTTAGGTGTCAGCTGTTTTTTTACTGTGGTTGATATGTAAGTGCTTCCATGTAATTTACACATGATTTCATAAGTGTCCAAGGATGTGTGTGTGTGTGTGTGTGTGTGTTGTACTTATTATTATTATTATTATTATTATTATTATTATTTTGAGGGTAACCATTTAAAATACAAACATATTTTTTTGGTAGAGGTAGCTATAATCACAAATATGTTTTTGGGTTGTAGTAGTAACTGCAAACGACAGCAGATATAAGAATAATGCAATATATATATATATATATATATATATATATATATATATATATATATATCTATATATGTAAGTATGTATATATTGTATTGTATATATTGCATTGCATGATAATGTAGCACTCTGCTGTTGGACCTCTTTAGTGCCCTGTTTGCACCAGAGCATCTAGGTCCTTGCAGGGCTAAAGAGCCACATTCGTTCAGTACATCAGTAGATTTTCTCCAAAAAGATATGTAGCAATGCCCATACTTGAACATGAGTTGGCAACCACCATGTATATATATATATATATATATATATATATATATATATATATATATATATATAAATATATGTAGGTATATATATATATATATATATATATATATATATATATATATATATATATATATAAAATTTCAGATAGTGTATATCTGTAAAGGACAATATGAATAATTATAAAAGGAAAACTTATCTTAGTCAATGCATTTTGGTTAAGATAAGTTTCCTTTGGTCTTTATTCTTATATATATATATATATATATATATATATATATATATATATATATATATATATATATATATACATGTTATGTCTCTATCCATATTATATGTATGTATATATTATATGTGTATATATGTATATATATTATGTGTGTATATATGTGGTGTATGCTTGTATACATATGTATATGTAAATTATATGTTTATGTGTATAGGCATATATTCATGTGTATAAGCATATATATTTATAAATTATAATTAAATTAATATTTACTTCCAAGTTTAGTATATTTACTTCCACTTTTGGGGAAGTAAATGTCAGACTAAAAATATAAATACATGAATTCTTTAGAAATCAAAATGTTAACTTAAAAGTTATTTCTTATTGCATAATGCTGTGTGTGTGTGTGTATGTGTGCGTGTTGTGTTTGAGTGTGAGCGTATACTAAAAAACAAGTAAGGGATAATAAAAAATGAATTACTACGCTTTCACGTTTTAAAACATTTTTTAATTCCTGCCACTTGGCGAAAGAAATAAGTCACCTATTCAGACTTCAGTCATCATGACCATCGTAAAGTTGATGATGGATGAGAATAAGTTCTTTAAAGTATCAACAACAGTAAAAATAAATAAACATTTATACACACACACACACACACACGTGCGCATATGTACTATGTACAGTTATTACTGGATTTATTTTTAGTACATAATAATAACTAAGTACAAGGAAGGCACAAGTACACTTTGCTGCTGAGACAGAGTTGTTGCTGATAAGACAGCATCGGTGGTATAGCGACCTTAAACATCACTTCTCAAAGCATATCCCTCTCTATCCACAGACATGTAAGCATTCCCTTTCTTTCTCTATCCATCTACCACTTCTTCCTCTCTTTCACGTCGAGAAGTTTTAGTCTCCTCCTCCTCTTCTTTCCGTTTCCCTTTCCTCTCTCTCTCTCTCTCTCTCTCTCTCTCTCTATTCACTCTTTTTCTACGTCCTCTCTGCCTGCGCCTCCTCTTCCCCCCTCACATTCTCTTTCTACATACATTCTCCTACTCCTTCTCTCTTCATTGGTATCCGCAGGCACGTACGTACTTCTTCAGTCTGCGTCACAGTACGAGAAGACAGAGACTCAGACAGTCTCTTTCTTCTTTTTCTCACGGATTCTTTTTTAAAGAAAGAAAGAAAGAAAAAACAACTGACCCACGCTTTACAAATAGACCAAGTAAGGCAGTAGTTATAGTAGTGGTAGTCTAGCAAAAAGCAGAATATTTTTTAAGCTGCTGCCAAAAACCAGACTTAGTCGATTGTAGGATTCACGCTTAAAAATCTGTCCATCTTTGGAGGAGGTTCACCTGCTACAAGATGGGGAACTGTTTAAAAACACCAAATGCTGATGATATATCCCTGCTCAGGGGTAGTGATAGTAATGATGGTTCAGATCCGGCCCTAGGGCCACCACCACCGTACCAGGTTTGTTATTATTTTTCTTTTTTTAGGTGGGGAGTGCATTTTTGTGTGACAGAGTAAAGCACCAATTTACATGCAAGCCAATATAAAACAAAGGGAAACCTCGTCTGCTTTCTTTTGTTTGTTATGTAGACAGACTTGTTTGGAGTAATTATCTTCGATTTTTTTTGTGCTGCATACGACATCAAGTAATTTAAATCTTTTTTTTTTCTTTTTTCGCATATATAGTCGAATAATTATTTAATTTATTAATATTAATTTTATGTTGCGTATCTGTTGGCGATTTTATAATGACCAGCACCCTCTCCAGATGTCTCTAAAAAATAAAATGCAAAAATTAATTCCACTTTAAGTTAAACCTGTTAAACTATAACCATTTATTCTCTAATTTTGCCAATAGATTTTTAAAAAACGGATTATATTTTTTTATTATCATTTTTAGATCCAGAAATTGTTATTGTTTTTATGTTAATTTAATCTGTAAAGTAAAGATCTCTATTTTTAATGTTTACATTTCTTGATTTTATCACCATTTTTTTTTTTATGTAACTCACTCAACCAACTGTGAGATAATTTTAGTGATTTCCTTAAAAATGCAATATTAGCCGAAATGATCAACTAGAATTCTTTTAAAAATCTAGAAGCTAAATATTTATTTACAATATTATGCCTACATAATCTACTCTACTCTAATCTCTTATTTTTTATTATAGAATTTTTGTTTGGGTCAATTTTTTTTTTTAGTTTTGGTTTTAATCTGATTTTTCATATGCCCTTTTTTAACTTTTTCATTTTTTAAACTGTAAACTCTGTTTTTACAGCAAATATTTAAAAAAAAATATGTGCAAGCAAATTTTTATTATAAAAATTTCGAAAATCGCCTACTTTTTTCTTTCTTTCTCTTTATTTTTAAGGTGAAAAAATCATGTCAGAAACAGACTTCCAATTTGTTTATTTAATGAAATAACGAATACTTTTAAGAGACTTAAAAAAAAATTAAGAGATTTGCAGACAATTTTTATTGTTTTTAACTTTATGTGCATAAAATGGTTCATATGATCTTCAAAATAATCAAAGTTTAAAAAAAAGTCGTTTGTAGATTGTAGCGACTTTTTAGTTTAGAGAAAGATTACCCTTTGTTATTGTTTTAAAATATAAATCAGGAAGTAGGTATATTTTATAATTTATTTATTTTTTTTTTTTGTCGTGTTGCATAATTTTTAGTTGTAATTCCGTTATTTTAAAAATGAAGCTTAAAAATTAAAATATTTGAGTTGAGTTTGATTATGTGTGTGTAATTTGCAATACGTTTTTTTTTTGTTTTTTTTTTACTGTATCTGGGTATATAGTTGGAATAAAAAGAGATGATTTCTGATTACAATCATGTAAATTTTGTAAAACCAGTGATAAACAAAATAAATAATAAATAAACAAAAAAGTAATGCAGTTACAAACAATAGTTTTCTTCTTTTTCTTTAAACTTCTGGTGAGAAAATCACATTTCAATATTGTGTATGTAAAAAATATGTAAAAGAGAATAAGTCAATAAGATTTTATTTAATCAGATAGCAAACTGAAAATGTACGACAGATGATTTCAGTTGTGTGCGTAACTGTAGTACACACAAAAAAAGACTCGAATAATCAGGTGGCGGTAGAGATTCACTGTTTGTGTGTAGTAAATAAAATGTTTCTCATCAGTTTTGAATATGCTAATAAGTTCTGAAAACATTTATTTATTAGAATTTTATTTTGTATGAAAGTTTGTCAGGCATTTATAAGTTCGGAAACTCCCTACAACCTTTATCAAACAAAAAAACTTTGATAAAAGTGGAAAATTTTGTGAATGCGATAATAATCATTTAGTATTTTTATGACAGTGTTTTTTGTACCCAGGTGCTACCACTCACCCGCCCTAAGCTCGTTCTTTTATATAGAATTTTTTAATTTGATTTATAAAATATTATTAATATATACACAAATCCAAATTTAAACATGGATAATTTGAGCGTTCTTTTGTGTAATTTATTTTAACGTTTGTAAATAATCTTTTTCTTTTTTTTTTTTTTTTTACGACATTATTAAATAGTGTGGACTGTGATGCCTTGTCACACGACTTGGTACTTTACCTGCAAAAACAATTTTATTTTATTTAATGAATGAATGCCAATGGTATAAACCATTTAAACTAAAGCATTTAGCTCGAAAACAAATCACTGTAGGCATTTTTGAAACGTGAGAAAAAATAAATAAATGCGAGTAGAAGAATAATGTCGTCATGTGGTAAAGGAAATGTTTATGTTTTTTTAGCGTCGAAATCAGACGTCAGTTGTATTTTTCAATGACTTCGGCACACGAACTTTTTGCATCGAAATAAATGACTAAAATGTCGCAATATATTGAGCTATCACACATACACATCTATATATATATATATATATATATATATATATTTGTGATTCGTGTCTAATGATATGTGTGTTAACTGTAGTGTAGATACAAGGAAATAGTCTGACCACTAGGCAGACAAGCACTCAGAAAAATTACCACGAACAACCTTAAGCGGTGTTTTGTTTTCTCTTTTATTTTAATATGAAATGGATAAAGAGAAAAAGATAAATAAAATCAAAGTTGTAATTTTCATTATGGATTGTTCAGGACAAAACGTGGATTTGTTATGAAGCTGATCAGGTTTCTGAGTGTACTTATAACTTAACTTACATTTAACGATGTAATTTAATTAATATTTTTTTTTTATCAAGTTCTGTTAGTTATATTAATTATTCATAAAATATCTACCTACAGTGTTCTCGTTGTTTTTACCTAAAAATAAAATGTTGCTAGAAGTGATTTTGAACTGATATACACAGCTACTACGCACTATTCTTCGAAACTTGAGTTGAGCAGTTTTATTAAAAAAAGTCTTTTTTACTTATCATTTATTTATTTATTATTTTTGTGTTAAATAAATTTTTTAAGGTTTTGTTTTTATTTATTTTTTAAATATACACAAACGAAATTAATCTACTTTCATTTTTTGAAAAAACAACTAAAGATCAAATTGCAACATTTTAGAAATTTTTTTTTTTCTGTATTCAGTTTTTTTTTGTTTTTTTTTCACTCATTCGTTCTTGATGTCCCAGAAACATTTGTTTTAAATTTAAATTCGTTAAACCAAGCAACTCCTATCTTGTGCATTCAAAATAACTTTACGATGGGATGCTGAAAAGTCCTCGTTTCGATCTACTTCCTACTAACCAAACATGAGAATTTAAAATAAAATCTTCTCTTGGTCGGACTGAGAACTTTTTACTCTCTCGTACAATGACATTCTTAAAGTAACAAAAATGTAATATTTTGCTTACTGATGCAGTTATAAATCTTCAGTTCTAGAATTTAACTGTTTATCAAAGCACACGATGGTGCTTCCATATTTAAGAATTATTGGATTGTCACGTTTTCCTCGTCTGGTACCTTTTGTTAAGGAGTGCCCCTGATTGTCTGGGTCAACGTCGTCTGTCTGAAATAATAGTCGTCATCCTGATGGAGAATTGTGGATTCGTTTCGTGAGAACAGGATTTACTTTTACTAGTAACTAATGTTATTTATTACTCTTCTTGTCACTGTGTACGTACGTACGTTGATTTTGGTTCGAGTGAAAATCTAATTTCGCTTCCTGATCCTGTCTCATAAAAAGTGTAAAAAACGTACTGCTCGCTCAATAAGAATTTGCTCTTACTTTAAAACTATGTTCAAATTGGTATCATTACAGTACAGTACACGCACAGGTTTTGTTTGGTATGAGTTCTCAACTAAATATCGATATGATTACCATTACTTTGTATTTGTTTTGTTTTGATTCTGAACATAACAGCTGTAGTGTAGTGTACCTTTGGATTATTACCCATTTTTAAATTCAAATTGCTATTTTAACAAATAAAAATTTTAATTTAATGATTATAAATTCCTCTTTTTTTTTTTCTTTTTTTTTTTTTTAGGCCATGATGATAATTACCTAGGCTTTCCCCTTTTTAGTCTTAAATTTGTTCTTGTATTGTGTCATTTTTTCTTTTTTCTTTTTTTTTTTTTTTTTTACCTGAAAATCCTTTTTAACTCTGCTAAGCAATAATATCAAAACTGCACTTAATTTTTACAGGAAGAAGACCCTGGAATTTTCATTTTTTTCTCTCATACACTTCTTACTCGTGTAGCTATTGCTTTTATTTACTACTTGTTTATATACATTTTCTCTACATTTGACAGTACTGCTTATGTAATTTTACAATTGATTTGGTTTGGATGTATCGCATGAAGTTATGTGAGATTTTTTATAAATGAAAAAAACCATAGATCACTTATGGAAAAAAAACATAACCAAGTAACTCTCTTCTTGTCTGATGAAAGAAATTATGTTTTCATTAAAAATAAAAATAATACGAAACAAACATAAAGAACAACCTGTTTTCACTAAGATGATCCATTAAAAATTATTATAGCAACACGAGATATATTAACTCTAACCTGTCACTGAGTAAAAATGCATGCTGTTACTATAACAACGGAGTATCGCATTGGTAAGTAGACACGATCAGGTTGCGTGACCAATTAATTTTTCAACTAGTGGTGCCATATGAAGTTATGGTGTATAATTTCAGTTTGTATATGATACTAGTAATTGATTTTTATAAACTATCCCAAGAAGCTAAAAAAATTCAGATCACTAACTTATTTTATTTCTAAAACCTCTCTCTCTCTCTCTCTCACTCACTCTCACACACACACACACACACACACACACACTTTATTTTTTAAATGAAGTAGATGACCCTGCATTGAACAAGGATAATAAACTATTATCACAAAATTCAAATGTACTCTCGTAGAAAGGTAAGTCTTATTATTAGCCAATAATTTTATAAATTATTAAATAAAGGATAAAAATATATAAATAAATGTTTTGGAAAAAAAATCAAATTAAAAAAAAAACACTGCAACTCATTTGAA